TACCTTACATTGACAGGACTTACTTTTCCCGACAACTAAGCCAGTCACGTGTACTGTGTGGTAGACCTGTTTCATCAAAAATAGGAATAACCTTACAAGGCTAAGTTATTTATGTATATAGCCATTTTGCTTATAAGTTGAGTTTTTGTTACAATTGTTACAATTTTGGCTTATCCTTTTTTCTTTTTTTACCAGCAGTAATTTGTAACAGATTGTGATTGCTTTTTCTCTGGTGTTGGTTATACTGAGAATTGCATGGCAAGTAGCAAAATCATAATTGACAATACGTATAGATAAGGAGAAGTCTAAAAGAGTTAGGAAAAGCATTCCATAAGACTGGTACTAGAAGGTTTAGAAGCCCTGTAAATGAGAGGGCTGTAGTTTAGAAGCCCTGTAAATGAGATATGACAAACTGATTAGTGGTGAAGTGGAGTTGGCAAGAAAAAATGCATTTGTGAATAAGAAATGCTATATACTTTAGGGAAAGGTTGTTTAAAGTCATATAGTTAGCTTTCTGGATTTTACATTTTGCTAGACATGTGCAATTCGTTTCGTTCTGAATGTGAATTCGGACAAATTTCGGGCAATTTTGATATTTAATCCAAAGTGCTTTGGATTTCTGAAAAGTGGCAAAACAAGAGAGGGAGGAAAAATTACATGAATTATGACAGAGGTAAGGTTAGGGGTTAGTATTAGGGGTAGGGGTAGAGTTGGGGTAGTGTTAGGGGTACAATAAGCATTAGGATCATGGGCGTCCGCAGGAATTTTTCCAGGGGGGGGCATAATTGTAATGACATCCATGCTTGGTACCTTTTTGACAGTGTCATGAAAGGGAAGGGGCATAGCCATTATCACATAAAGCCAGGGTGAATAGCGTTTTCACAACTATGGTGTCAGGAATATATGTTTGTATTACTGACACTATAGTGTTCCCTTAAGCAAATTAACCCCTTAAGGACCAAACTTCTGGAATAACAGGGAATCATGACATGTCACACATGTCATGTGTCCTTAAGGGGTTAAAGGACATTTCTGGTCACCATAACAACTTCACCTAAATGAAAATGCTCTGATGCCAGGAAGCCCCTGGGTGCTCGTTTTCCTTTAAGGGGTTAAATCGCTCTCAAATGGTTTAACCCCAAAGGCTTCCTCCAGCTCCAGGTCGCTCAGTGGTATTTGGCTTCTGAAACAGAGTGTCAGGAAGTGCAGATTGACGTCAGGCATGGGTGCCGCTGATTGACTAGAGTGGTCAGTTGACGCTCTAAGCCAATCGCTAGTTCCAGGTTCATAAAATGTTTTTACTTTTTTATGAATGGGGAGCTACTGATTGGCTTAGAGTGCCAGCTGACCGCTCTAGCCAATCAGCAACACCCCTACCCAACAGCACTCTGTGCTTCCTGACACTCAGTAAATAAATGTGAACACATTAACACCAATATTTTTTTACCTTTGGAGATGAGAAGGTCCAGCGTTTCCCTGCCAGGCTCAGGTACCAAAGCCTTATGATGTGGTGTCCAGAATAAAGTGGAGGTTCACTTCATTTGTCCTTCCTGCTCCAATCTCCTTTTCCTCTCCTTCATTTGACAGTCTTTTTTTTTTCTTCTGACAATGTTTTCTATCCTTGGCCCCTTCTGCTCTTTTACCTTTCTGCTACTTTCTGCTTATTTTGCACCCTTCTGCTCCTTTCTCATTCTGATCCCTTTCTGCTCCTTGCAGACCCTTTCTGCTTCCTTTTCTACTTTACCTTTGTGCTCCTTGCTGTCCCTTTCTGCTCTTTCTCCTACTTTACCTTTGTGCTCCTTCTGATTCTTTCTGCTCCTTTACCTTTGTCCTCCTTGCTGTCCCTTTGTGCTCCTTCCTGCTCCTTGCAGGCCCTTCCTGCTCATTCTCCTACTTTATGTTTGTGCTCCTTCTGCCCCTTCCAGCTCATTTCTGACCCTTTCTGCTCCTTCTACTTTACCTTTGTGCTGCTTTACCTTCCAGCTCCTTGCTGACCCTTCCTGTTCATTTCTATATATCTATAGGCTGCTGCCCCCCCCCAAAATCTATGGGCTGCTGCCCCCCTCCCCAAATCTATGGGCTGCTGCCCCCCCCAAATCTATGGGCTGCTGCCCCCAAATCTAAAGGCTGCTGCCCCCAAATCTAAAGGCTGCTGCCCGTCCCCCAAATCTATGGGCTGCTGCCCCCAAATCTATAGGCTGCTGCCCCCCTCCCCAAATCTATGGGCTGCTGCCCCCCCAAATCTAAAGGCTGCTGCCCACCCAAATCTAAAGGCTGCTGCCCACCCAAATCTATGGGCTGCTGCCCCCAAATCTATAGGCTGCCTCTAAAATCATGAGACTCCCCCAAATCTAAAGGCTGCCTGCCTCCCCAAATCTATGGGCTGCTGCCCCCAAATCTATGGGCTGCTGCTAGTCTATCTACTGCTGCCTCCCAAATCTATAGGCTGCTGCCCCCCTCTCAAACCCTCCCCCCCATCCCCCACTTACCTGATCTGTAGGCTGTCTCTGGCTGCATGTGTTACTCCCCTGCGGTTTCAATCAGCAGAGAGAAGCAGGGATAAGATGCAGCTTCCTATCCCTGTCTCTCCATACACAGCGCCACCTACTGGCCGGCACCGGTATTGCAGTTCATTCTAAATCTCACACGAAAAATAGCAGAACAAGTTGAAAAATCCAGGGGGGGTAATGCACTGACAGTACTTAAAGCAAAATTATGATACCTTTTGTAGCTTGCCATGCATATTTACATGAACAGTTCAAACAGTTTCTGAATAAAAGCGTAGTGGGTCAATATTTCTCCGGTCTACCTGACAATCTTTAAACATAATGGAAATTAAGATTGGTATGCACTGGCCTTTTTAATGTATGTTACGGTGGTAGTGAGTACAACTACTCTGTCAATTAAATTTCAGTTACCAAGTTTAGCATTGTCTTTACATTATATGCACTTTCTATTATAAACCACTAGGTGGTAATCTAGGTTTTCAGACAACAAGGAACTCAAATAATAAAAAAACAGTCATTAACAGAAGACCAAATTGAGGTTTTCATATTTTCGCATTTCTCTACAAGAACAGTGAATGTTGTACTGTTTTCTTGAAAAACTGCAGATATATCAATAGATAAATAGCAGACTTGTGCATTTGGTTCATTCCAAACCACAATTTATCTGAATTTCTGGTGATCAACGGGTCTTTTGAATGATGTAAATCTGGATTGCCATATGACCGCATTATTACAAAAGCAAACTGGAAATTGTACAAGTTGGTTTAGTTGATTCATGATTCATAGTTACTGCCATGGCACCAAAAATAAATGTACAATATATAAATAAAAGTTTTAATATAAATATAATATACAAATATATAATAAGGAAATGCATAGGTAGTATATACAAATTTATTTTGTACTGCTTTTTTCCCCTCCCTGATGGTTACTTCTCAACTGATCAGTGAGCCAAATGATGGGAAAATGCCAGCGTGCTGCAAAATAAATACATAATATTAATATGATGTATATGTGTCAAAGTGAATAGATTGGCCCATTTATATGCCCTTTTGGTTTAACTGAACCATTTTTCTAAAATCTTTTGCATAATTCAGGTAAGCTGAACTGGGCAAATAGACAATAATCAGGTGACTGAACACAATTTTTTTTTTGAATGAAGTGATTCAGACTGAAACCCGCATTAGATGGGGGTCCAAAAAAATGATTTCTCCAGGATCCTTTCTACATTAGTTCCACTACTGGTATCCAATCTATATGCTAGTGGACTGGGTGGCATTTGCACCACATCCCTTATTGACAGTTTTTCCATGGCAAGGAATGGATTCTTAATATTCCACATGACTACCATACATTTAAAGTGGAGAAACCTTGAAGTAAAAGGGGTTGATTTCTTGTTGTCTCCTCCCACTAGTCTCACAGTTCATCACATCCACTCTTTCATTTCACAAGAGAACATTACGAATCTGCTTTCTTATGTGAACAGTCTTAAAAGTGAGAAAAATGATGCAAAACTATTACCTCATCCTATTAATGCTTAGTATTTATTCAGGTAAGGTGAGAAACATAGACACATGTGACTGCAGATAAGAGCCATTCTGTCCATCCTGTCTGCCCAATTTTCTTAATACTTGCATTATTCTCATAATAGGAGTTTATGATCATAATAGGAGTTTATGATTGTTTCTATAATTTGATATTGATGACACATTGTGCAAGTAAAACATTTACTCCATGTTTACTGCACATTTTATTATGTCTTTTTGTCTTTCCTTGTTTCTCACTTGCTGTCATCTCACTTTTCTTTTCCACTTTCTTCTATAATTCAGGTGATCTTACAATTTGTTCTTTAAATATTTCTATTTTTGCTCACAGGAAATGTTATTGGGGATTCCATCCAGCCAAAATATTCTCAGTTGTCTGTGGAGGAAGGAATAACGGTTACTCTCACTTGCTCATACATGACTAGCAATACTTATTCTTATTATCTGTATTGGTACCGTCATTATCCTAATAAAGCTCTTGATTACATCCTTCGTAAAACTAACAAAGGTTCAGAATCTACTAGCATGGCCCCTTTTGCTATGGAGCGATTTACAATTCAGGTGGATTCACTCACTACAAATCTGACTATCACTGACGTGAAGATAGAGGATGCAGCTATGTATTACTGTGGACTGCAGGAGCACAATGTGACAGAGCCGAGCACAGCAGCTACATAAACCACAGCTGCTGTACAGACTTCAAAAGAGGAACTGTATTACGTGTATAACAAATAGGAACATGAATCATATTCCTTTCAATTTACACTCAAAACAAATCAAGTAATCCAGAAAATAAAGTTCCTCAACCCACTATATCCTAAACCAACACCTACCATCTTGAACCCATGAACTCCACTCATGACCACAGGAGATGGTATGCTTTGTTCCTAGAAACACAAATGTGGAAAAAGGAAAAATACTTTAAACATACAATTATGTGTTACGGTACCTCCAGTAATAAATGCACAAACCGCCATTTAGTGAATGCTCCCCGTTCGCAATAATGTGGTCTGGTAGCGTATGCTGTATAACCAAGCGAACAGCCAGCTAGGGAACACTCCATCCTCCCGAACGGTACCTGTACGGCTCCTTCCCTTCACGAGCTCCAACTGCACGAATCGCCACTAGCAGCCGAACGGCAATAGTTTCCAAGCGGCAAATAATCCCAATAAGCAGTCTCTAGTCGCCGGTAATAAAATCCCCCCAATAACGAGACCAAGCTCTGCTTTGAGGGTAACACACGAACTGAGTTTACTGTGGGCTACTTGTCCGTATTTATGCAGGTCTCCCACTTGGTGGACACTCCCCTAGGGGACCAAATGGGAGACTGGAATTACAGAAGGACATGGGGACATTTCAGACATACATCCCCACAATATTCCCAGCATGCATCACAGTTTCCTCCCCTCTGCTCGGGAGATAATTGGGAAGTAATTCAATTATCTCCCAGAGCAGAGGCAAATCGCCATTTTAACTCAAAGTTACAAAACACATTAAAATACATAACTTTATAACTGCCGAACGTATTGCATTCGTATAACACATCCCCAGATAGCCTGGATCTGAGTGCATATTATTGGCGAATAGCGCTCAGATCCCATACACACAGTTCAATCGCCATGGAGTCAAAGTCTATTACAGTTCTTCGGTATGCGATTGACTCCATGGGAAGGCTATCTGGGTTAAGTCCATTCGTGTTGTTAAATCTCCCGAACGGCCGGTATTCGTATGCTTTTGTCGATTGAGAAGGGGAGGTCGACGGCTTCAGCGGTGTTCGGTTGAAAAAGTGTCCGTTTTGAGTTCCATGAAATAATCGTCGAACACCGCTGGGCTTTCGCATAGTCAAAATGGCCGCCGCCTCGTGGTCGACATACGAACGACGACCACCCGGTATTCGGTTTTAATTGAGAAGTGTCTGTGGTTAACCGCAACGTTCTAATTGGGATCAATAGGTTAACCAGCAGCACACTTCTCTTCTGGGTGGGCGTCCGTTCGGTAGTTCCGTTCGACAAACAAATACATTCCCTTAATTAAGGCATACGAATGGGGAAATTCATACAAATGGCAAAACAGACGAACACAGTAACTTTAGTCCATACGGATGGGTCTGTCACATTATGTAAAACAGAGGGAAGGGCTACTTATTTTTTTCCATTATAAAAATAAACAATGTATTAATATTATGTAAAACAGAGGGAAGGGCCACTTATTTTTTTCCATTATAAAAATAAACAATGTATTAATATTATGTACAAGAATAAGTAAATAGGTGACATCATACATTAATTCTAGGAGCAGTCTGGGCATTAGGTTTCAAACGAAAAAAAGTATTTGTCTGAAATTTATACAATTCAGATATTCTTCAGAATGACAAATGACCAAATGCATAACTCAATGAAAGAAATAATTACTGAATTGCATGTTGGTTTAAATGTTGTTCATGCTATTTGGACATTAATTTGTTTGTTTATTCACAAGGACAGAGCAACAGGCTCCATGCCTCCCTCACCCAATGCTGTGTGTGAGGATGGGTGAGATGAGACAGGGACTAAATAAATTATGGAGGTCATTATGAACCCCATGTAATACAATGGAGATTCCCTTATGCCTCCACCCAACATGTAGTAGCATTACTATTAAACAGCAAATAGCCAGTGGCTAAAAGACAATATCAATTAGGCCACTATTGTTACCCAGTTGTTAATCCTTGGTGGGGCAAATACAAAATAATGCAGCAGAGGGACAATGTGTTCCCCTCATGCTATTTCCTGTGTTCAGTGGCTAGAGGCTATTAAAAAAATAAACTGTGAGGGCCTAGTTCCAACATCTGCCAGAAGCAATCAATGCCAGGGGCAATCAATGCTGATGGACTTGAATTGTTTCCTAGAGGTGACCTGGTCATGGGGAAGAATTAAGAAAATCACTTTACGCAAAATATGATTTTTTTTGGAATGAGGTACATAAGAACTCACCTGCAGAAATAACAAGTCAGGCAGCTCCTTCCTGATGGCCAGCTGCCAAACCTCTGAAAAGCCAAACAGCATCTGGAGCATAAATACACATGTTATTTGCATGCATTTTGTGGCCATTTCTGGATTGAATTGGAGTTTTAAATGATTTGGAAGATCACATTTTAGCTACAGATAGGAATCATGTGGCCACACCATTACAAGTATTTTGGACTCCAGCTGGAGGTGCAGGAAGAGACATAAAAATATGGGAACTGGGAAAATACACATTTATGTTTCAAAATGTGTTAAATGAATAGTGTTTTTTATCATGTGTTTTTGCCTCACAAATTCTGACTTTATGCAGATGTAGCAAACTTTTGAATTGAAGTGTATCATGCCTTCCCTACCCTTCAGACTTTCTCCCTGGCTACTGAACAAGAGGTGGCTGCGCTTTTCCATTCCTCTCGCCCCACCACTTGCCCACTCGATCCTGTCCCATCCCACCTCATCAGATCTCTCTCCCCTTGTCTTGTGCCTACACTAACACACATCTTTAACTGCTCTCTCTCTTCTGGCACTGTTCCTGCTGACCTTAAACATGCCACTGTAGTACCTATCCTGAAAAAAACATCTCTTGACCCATCCTTCCCCTCTAACTATCGTCCAATATCCCTGCTCCCTTTCTCATCAAAGCTTTTGGAAAGACTTGTCTTTACCCGTGTGTCTCGCTTCCTCAATTCCAACTTTCTCCTTGACCCTCTTCAGTCTGGCGTCCGCCCTCTCCACTCTACTGAGACTGCTCTCATCAAAGTCACTAATGACCTAATTGCAGCTAAATCCAAAGGTCACTACTCCGTATTAATTCTCCTTGACCTCTCTGCTGCCTTTGACACCATTGATCATGCTCTCCTCCTTCAAACTCTTCAATCACTCGTTCTCTGTGACTTTGTCCTCTCTTGGTTTTCCTCCTATCTCTCCCAACACTCATTCAGTGTCTCCTTTTCCAAGCATACCTCCTCCCCTCGTCCTGTCTTGGTTGGAGTTCCCCAAAGCTCTGTCCTTGGTCCCCTTCTATTTTCTCTTTATACTGCCTCTCTTGGCAAGCTTATTGTTTCTTTTGGATTCAACTACCACCTCTATGCTGATGACACTCAGATACACCTCTCCTCCCCGGACCTCTCCCCTGCTGTCCTGCAACGTGTCACTGCTTGCCTTTCTTCCATATCTGAGTGGATGTCCTCATGCTTTCTGAAACTCAATCTCTCTAAAACTGAACTCCTTGTCTTTCCTCCTCCTTAAACTGATCCTCCTCTCTCGCTCTCCCTTCAAGTCAGTGATATCCACATAAGTCCATCCTTGCAAGCACGCTGTCTTGGCATCAAACTTGACTCTGGCTTCACCTTTGAGCCTCACATCCAGTTTGTTGCCAAATCCTGTAGGTTCCAACTCAAAAACATAGCCCGCGTCCGCCCCTTTCTTAGGCAAGATGCGACCAAAGAGCTTGTCCATGCTCTAGTAATTTCCCGCATGGATTACTGTAACCCTCTCCTGATTGGTCTCCCCAAAAGCCGTATTGCCCTGCTACAGTCTGTAATGAATGCTGCAGCTAGACTGATTTTCCTCTCTCTAGTCGGTCCTCTCACACATCACCCCTGTGCCAGTCCTTACATTGGCTCCCTGTATCCTATAGGAGTCAATTCAAAGTGCTAACCCATACATTTAAAGCACTGAACAATTCTAGCCCCTCTTATATCTCCTCAATGATCCATAGGTATGCCCCTCCTTGTTCCCTCCGCTCTGCCCGTGACCACCTCCTGACCGCTGCTCGCACCCGTACAGCCAACTCGCGCTTGCAGGACCTCTCGCAGGTGGCTCCTTTCCTATGGAATAGCCTGCCTACTGCCATCAGACTCTCCCCTAGTCTTCAATCATTTAAGAAAAGCCTTAAAACCCATCTCTTCATGAAAGCTTATGGCCTCCCAGAGTAACCTCTACCTTACATACCTGTCTCTTGCTCTCTCTACCCTCTCCTCCAGCTCTGCTTCACTCCCACCCTATTTAATTGATATTTCCTGTCCTAATGTGTCTTATACCCCACCTTCTATAGACTGTAAGCTTGTTTGAGCAGGGTCCTCTTCAACCTATCGTTCCTGTAAGTTTTCTTGTAATTGTCCTATTTATAGTTAAATCCCCCCTCTTATAATATTGTAAAGCGCTACGGAATCTGTTGGCGCTATATAAATGGCAATAATAATAATAATAATAATAATACTAATAATAATAAGTGTATGTCTCCAATGAAATATGACTCCATAAAGCTTATTTTAGCATTATTGCTGTTAAATTATAAATATAATTCTGTTGGTAATGTGATTCACACTATGCATTTCTATGTGTATTTTTAAAATTTTGAAAATTTATACTACAGACTTAAATAATAAAGACTTAAAAAAAAAACCAAACAAACATTATTACTGTATGACAATAACTAGATAATATATTTACTGCAATTTCAACATTTAAGAATGAACCCATTTGGCATTGCAACCATATGCCTAATGTTTGCAATAACAAATCTGAATATAAAGCTGTTGTTGTTTTCCTTGTTCACATCTGTCTAATGAAAATTCCTTGAGAGATTTAATCCCAAGAATCATTTTATTCCCAAGGCACTTCATTACTAAACGTTATATTTGTAGATATGTAGACTGTATTTAAGAGTGTTGC